TAGGTATTAAAAGCAATTCTACTTTTATTAGGGTCACGATCCATACCTTGTTCTAAAAAGAACAGATTTCACTCAATTAAATTGAAGACGCAAAAGGGTTTAAACAAAATTTACAACAATGACACGAAACTGTCGAATTATCAATAACCTAACCTTCAAATTCAAAATCAAAATTCAAAATTGCCTGTGTGTGAACCTTCCTCGCATTCAACCAATCACGTGCAAGGTCAATCTGGTGACAAATTTAAAATACTCCTCCTGGTTTAAAAATAGAGTATAATTGATGGAGAAAATATCTATTTTGATATTAAAATGTCTAGAAGTATCAAATATGACACATTAAGGTAAAATTGTTAAAGGAAAAAATTTGCTGATTATAAAATTTGAAAATGACATATTTGACAGTTTAAATGTCAAAAGTTCTGGAAATAATAATCTTTTTGATATTAAAATGTAAAGTTTGACAGTTTAAATGTCAAAAATGCCAGAAACAAAAGATTTCTTGATATTAAAATATGTAGAAATGTCAAATTTAACAGTTTATAAATGTCAAAAATTTTAAACGAAAAAGATTTTATGATTTTAAAATTTGAAAATGTCATACTTGACAGTTTAAATGTCAAAAGTTCTGGAAATAATAAATTTTTTGATATTAAAATGTCAAATTTGACAGTTTAAATCTCAAAAATACTAGTAATAAAAGATTTCTTCATGTCAAAATGTCTAGAAATGTCGAATTTGACAGTTAAATGTCAAACATTTTAAAGGAAAAGGATTTTTTGATTATAAAATTAGAAAATATGTCATATTTGACAGTTTAAATGTCAAAAATCTGTAAATAATAAATTTTTTGATATAAAAATGTCAACTTTGACAGTTTAATGTCAAAAATTTTAAAGAGAAAAGATTTTCTGATTATAAAATTTGAAAATATGTCATATTTGATAGATTAAATGTCAAAAGTTCTGGAAATAACAAATTTCTTGATATTAAAATGTCAAATCTGACAGTTTAAATGTCAAAAATAGTAGTAATAAAAGATTTCTTGATATTAAAATGTCTAGAAATGTCAAATTTGACATAAAACAAGACATCATTCATTAATTATAATCAAAAATCGTCAAAAACCTTAAAATTTGGTTTTATTTTTGGGTTGAGTTAGTACTGCTGATTGAAGAATTAAAATAACTTATCCATATGTTTTATGGGTTAATTCTAAACCTTTTTTGTATAAAACATTTCTTTCCATCACTTACAATAATTAAGTTATAAAAGAAAATTGTTGAAAACGTCAAAATTTCTATTTTACTTAGGTTGGGTTGGTAATACTGATTGATGGAGTAAATATCTTTATTCAATACGTTTTATGAGTTCATTCTAAACGTTTTTTGTTTGAAAAGTAATTCTCCATCATTTATAATTAATAAGTTATATCCGAAAATGATCAAAAACCCCAAAATTTAGTTTTATTTTTGGGTTGGGTTAATACTAATTGATCGATGGGTTAAAATAACTTGTTGCGTATGCTTTATGGGTTAATTCTAAACCTTTTTTGTACGAAACATTTTTTTCCATCACTTATAATTAAGAAGTTATACAACAAAATTGATGAAAACGTCAAAATTTCTATTCTTCTGAGGTTGGGTTGGTAATACTGAATGATAGAGTAAATATCTTTATTAAATACGTTTTATGAGTTAATTCCAAACGTTTTTTGTTTGAAAAGTAATTCTCCAACATGCATAATTAATAAGTTATAACCGAAAATGGTCAAAAACCTCAAAATTTGGGTTTATTTTTGCGTTGGGTTGGTACTACCGATCAATGGATTAAAATACCTTATTGGATATGTTTTATGGGTTAATGATAAACATTTTTTGTATGAAACGTTTCTATCCATCATTTATAATTAACAAATTATGAAAGAAAATTGTTGAAAACGTCAAAATTTCTATTTTACTTAGGTTGGGTTGGTAGTACTGATTGGTGGATTAAAATAACTTATTGCATATGCTTTTTGAGTTAATTCTAAACCTTTTTTGTACGAAACATTGCTCTCCATCAGTTATAATTATTAAGTTATAAAAAAATTCTTGAAAACGTCAAAATTTCTAATTTACTTAGGTTGGGTTGGTAATACTGATTGATGGAGTAAATATCTTTGTTCAATGCGATAGTTGAGTTAATTCTAAACGTTTTTTGTTTAAAAAATAATTCTCTATCATTCATAATTAATAAGTTATATCCGAAAATGATCAAAAACCCCAAAATTTAGTTTTATTTTTGTGTTGGGTTGGTACTAACTGATCGATGGGTTAAAATAACTAATTTGACATGTTTTATGGGTTCATTCTAAACCTTTTTTGTACGAAACATTTTCTTCCATCAGTTATAATTATTGAGTTATCAAAAAAAAATTGCTGAAAACGTCAAAATCTCCAATTTTCTTAGGTTGAGTTGGTAATACTGATTGATGGAGTAAATATCTTTGTTCCATATGATACTTGAGTTAATTCTAAACGTTTTTTGTTTAAAAAATAATTCTCCAACATTCATAATTAAAAAGTTATAAGCGAAAATCATCAAAAATAACAAAATTTGGTTTTATTTTTGGATTGAGTTGGTACTACTGATCGATGGATTAAAATAACTTATTGGATATGTTTTATAGCTTAATTCTAAACCTTTTTTATATGGAACATTTGTTTCCATCAGTTATAATTATTAAGTTATAAAAGAATATTGTGGGAAACGTCAATGTTTCTATTTTTCTTAATTTGGGTTGGTAGTACTGATTGATGGTGTAAATATCTTTATTCAGTATGTTTTATGAGTTAAATCTAAACGTTTTTTGCTTAAAAAGTAATTCCCCATCATTCATAATTAATAAGTTATAACTGAAAATCGTCAAATACCCCAAAATTAGGCTTTTAAAATCTGGTCTGTTAAAAAAAATTGATTTGTTGTGATCGTTTCAAGATTCAATGAGCTTTGAGTTGTATAAAGGACAAATCAATAAATAAAAAGGTAATTTTCTTATAACAAATAAATTTGACAGTAATTATTGACGGTAATATTGACGGAAATGTCAAAAATTTTAGAAATAACAGATTCTTGATATTAAACTGACAAGAAATGTCAAATTTGACAGTTTAAACGTCAAAAGATCTGGAAATAATAAATTTCTTGATATTAAAGTGTAAAATTTGACAGTTTAAATCTCAAAAATACTAGTAATAAAAGATTTCTTCATATCAAAATGTCTAGGAATGTCGAATTTGACAGTTAAATGTCAAACATTTTAAAGGAAAAAGATTTTTTTGATTATAAAATTAGAAAATATGTTATATTTGACAGATTAAATGTCAAAAATCTGTAAATAATAAATTTTTTTTGTATTAAAATGTCATATTTGACAGTTTAAATGTTAAAAACATAAGAAATAAAAGATGTCTTGATACTAAAATATCTAGAAATGTCAAATTTGACAGTTTAAATGTTAAAAATCTGTATATAATAAATTTTTTGATATTAAAATGTCAAACTTGACAGTTTAAATATCAAAAACATAAGGAATAAAAGACGTCTTGATATTAAAATATCTAAAAATGTCAAATTTGACAGTTTAATGTCAAAAATTTTAAAGGAAAAAGATTTTCTGATTATAAAATTTGAAAATATGTCATATTTGATAGATTAAATGTCAAAAGTTCTGGAAATAACAAATTTCTTGATATTAAAATGCCAAATCTGACAATTTAAAATGTCAAAAATACTAGTAATAAAAGATTTCTTGATATTAAAATGTCTAGAAATGTCAAATTTGACATAAAACAAGACATCATTCATTAATTATAATCAAAAAACGTCAAAAACCTTAAAATTTGGTTTTACTTTTAGGTTGAGTTAGTACTGCTGATTGAAGAATTAAAATAACTTATTGGATAAGTTTTATGGGTTAATTCTAAACTTTTTTTGTATAAAACATTTCTTTCCATCACTTATAATTATTAAGTTATAAAAAAAATTGTTGAAAACGTCAAAATTTCTATTTTACTTAGGTTGGGTTGGCAATACTGATTGGTGAAGTAAATATCTTCATTCAATACGTTTTATGAGTTAATTCTTAACGTTTTTTCTTTAAAAAGTAATTCTCCATCAATCATTATTAATAAATTATAACCGAAAATTGTCAAAAACCTCAAAATTTGGTTTTGTTTTTGGGTTGGTTGGTACTACTGATTGGGTAGATTAAAATAACTTATTGGATATATTTTATGGGTTAATTATAAACCTTTTTTGTACGAAACATTATTTTCCATCAGTTATAATTAATGAATTATAGGAGAAAATTGATGAAAACGTCAAAATTTTTATTTTTCTTAAGTTGGATTGGTAGGACTGATTGATGGAGTAAATATCTTTATTCGATACGTTCTATGGGTTAATTCTAAACATTTTTTGTTTAAAAAGTAATTCTCTATCATGCATAATTAATAAGTTATAACCGAAAATTGTTAAAAACGTCAAAATTTGGTTTTGTTTTTAGGTTGGGTTGGTACTATGATGGGTGGATTAAAATAACTTATTGGATATGTTTTATGAGGTAATTCTAAATCTTTCTGTACGAAACATTTTTTTCCATCAGTTATAATTATTAAGATATAAAAGAAAATTGTTGATAACGTCAAAATTTCTATTCTACTTCGGCTGGGTTGGTAATACTCTTTGCCAAAGAAAACTTCAAGGTATAATTAATGTTTGTAAACAAAACTAACCTTACCTAACATTCCTTCACGCTATAATTAACATTACAAAAGAAAACTTCACGCTATAATTGCCATTACTAATTGCCAAAGAAAACTTCATGGTATAATTAATGTTTGTAAACAAAACTAACCTTACCTCACATTCCTTCACGCTATAATTGACATTACAAAAGAAAACTTCACG